ATGCTAAAAAAGATGTTTTGCAATGCAGAACAGAGAAGTACAGGAATAGGGAATGTTATGCGAAAGGAAAAGTAGGGAATAGAGTACGAGGTTTGAGTTAGAAAGCAGGAAGATACAAGGCACTGAAGCAAGCAGGGGTTAAACTGAGCGGGGCTCTGAAGAAGTGGCTCACATTAGGAGCTGCAAGTTTGACTGTGTGCACCAGGGAATGATCACTCACCAATCCAGTGAGTAATGAACAGAATTATCTGAGATACTATTTTGAGGCCAAGAGGGTTTTAAACCCCACTGTCATGAATGAAATGCCCTCCATTTTACCACAAAATGTAAAAATAAGACCTATTAGATCTCTGTGAGCAGATCTATGTTGAAACCCTGTTTTGTTTATATGCTCTTCTGTCATTGCTTCTCCAAAGAATCCTGGGAGCTGTAGCTCGGTGAAGCCTGAAAGATCTGTGTTAAAGACGTCTAGCCAGACTACTAAGAAACCAGTTTAAGGTCCTACATTTGCCCTGCATCTGGCCCTGTACTGAATATGGCTTGGTCTGCACTTTAGGCCACTGTAAAAGTTTAACCTTTCTAACCCTGCTGGATTCAGGAAATGGGAGACGTGTCTGTGGCAAGAGCTTTTTTTTTTTTTTTTTTTTTTTTAAAGCACTGGTTTTAATGATGTTCAGAGGTTTGTTTCTGAGTTAGATGCATCCTGTCTGAAATGGATCAGATGGCAGAGATCCAGAGATCAATGAAACAAAATAAATGCAGTTTATCGCAAAAGGACTGGCATTCAAGCAACCAGGGAAATGTTCAAATTACACGTGATTGAGAAGCAACCACCCGTTATATGGTTATGATCCCCGTTTTTTCCATGGATGGTATTGTGGGGGGTGGTGCTGGGGAGAAGAGGAAAGAAGCAAGCATTCCTGCATTCTAACTAGATGTTCTCTTACTTTATTTTTTTCTATTCTGCAATGCCAAACGCTGGCAAATTTTAAAATACTTGATGGGCGGGGAGTGTTTGCAAATATAGATAGGAAGCATCATCTGTGTCACACCAGCCTTTCTGAACCTCATGGCCTCCTCCAGATATTCTGGACTTCAACTCCCACCAGCCCCAGGTAGCATGACCATGGTCAGGACTGCTGGAAATAGTAGCCCAAAACATCTGGAGAGCAGCCAGTTGGGAAGGCTGGGCTACATCAGACGTGCCTTTCAAGAGTGGTTGGCCCTGCCCCGACCAATCCAAGTTTCCTGTTCCACCAGGAGGTCTGTGAAACCCAAGGGATTTAGGAAGTGGACTTCTTATGCCACCATGATGCAGAGACTGCAAGCAATTCGCCCATATGATAGGAAAGGAGCACTGAAGCAAATGTGGCCAGCAAAGTCTCCAAACGTTCCGGATCAGGGGCACTCCTTTAACCTGGACCTGCAACACTTGGCCGCTTTATGTCCATGATTCTCATTTCCTCCTTCTCCTTTCTCTCTTTTCTGAGCTCCTTAGCTTTCTCTTTCTTTTTGCCCACAGCCTCCCTTTCTCCAGGTATGTCTTCAGCGGACAAAAAATATCTCCTTTGAAAGATGAAGGTATACATACAGAAGCAAGCAGGAGTCTGGCTCCAGATTTCCCCCAACATGTAGGAATAGACAAAGTCCTCCAGGCTCAATTCAGATTGGAACCTGTAATTGTAAGCAATGTTGGAGAAGCATTGGGGTTGCAGGGAGAAGTCTTTGTTCCCAAGAATCCGAAGTTTGTTCATAATTTCCACTCTCAAATCTTCTGACCTCCTGGCAGCAGCATGTTTTTTTCCCCATCCTCCCCCATCCCCAAATTTTCTCTGTGATCCACTCTCCTTCTCCCCTTCAGGCAGCCTTCCTCTGCAGACAGCCATCCGGAGCCCTAGAAAATATACTATTTCCAGGGGCTTGGATTCAGATTCTCATTGAACATCTGGCAGAATAACATGTCACAGGTTCCTGGCTAAAGCAACATGCAGGTGGCTTCTCAAAATTCTCCACCCTGTGGGGAAACAATCTGGGGGGTGGGGGGGGAGAGAAATTCTCCAACAATTTCTCACGAATCAGGTTCACGCTTGCCAGGGGTCTAGCACTGCCTTTTTCTTTCCTCCAGAGAGGGGTGGGCGTGAGAGAGTATGTGTGTGTGATTGTGTGTGCACATTTGCCACTGCAAGTGGCAACAGCATCAACTGTGTTGGTGGGCTGGTCCTCACATTGCACCAACATCCAGCACAATGCAGGCATGAGGGAAGAGGTGTACTGTACAGTAGTATCCGGAAGGTATACAAAAGCCTTAAATAAATAAAAACGGCAAGCTAGTGATAGGCTCAAAAAAGCCCTCTGATTTCCTGAATGTTATTCTCATCCATGAAAGAGGTGTCTACTTTCACTTCTCTGCTTCACACTAAAGGCATTTTAGAATTCATTTTCCATTTATTTGAGTCATGATTTTCATCTTCCCTCGCCACTGCAAGATAGTCTAAGATGCTGCATTTTCCATTGCTCTGCAGCCTCCTGGACTGCCTGCGCTCCCTGGGAGGAATTACCACATGCCCTCTTTCCCGGGGCTTTCACTTACATGCAGGAAGCCAAGAAGGCTGCAGAGCCTAGATGAAGGGAACAAAAAAGCAGGTGACGCGGATGCACTTCCCAGCCACCTCCTAGGTGAGGTAAGCACAAGAGCACTGAACGAACCCATTAGAACATCTCTGTGGTTTTCTTTCCCTTTGAATGTCCTTTTCAAAGCATTTCTCTTCCATCAAATCGAAGGAGAACAGTTGAGGGAGAGAGGGCACAGCTCAACTCTTTTGCTATAGCGCTATTCCTGGCACCTGGGCCATGACCTGAGTGGTAGTTTAAGCAATGGGGTGGGGGAGACAGAGAAGGGAAAAAAGGAATTTTTCTCCACCCCGCTGCTGGCCCGGCCCTGCAGCAGAAGCAGGACAGGTGTGTGGCAAAGGTTTCCGCTCACTTCATATGAAAGGTGAGCTTTCCCAAAGTACTGATGTTTCCATTCCAAGTCAAGGAATGAAAGACTTTGGCAATCTCACCACCTCCACCCACCTGTGGAAATTAAAGCAGAGAGAAGGGCATGCAAGTGCTAAACCACAACTTTCCTACGTCACTCCATGATGTATCTCGGGTGAACAGACGTGCCAATACACAGCTACACACACTGCTATCCATGGGAAAAGACAATGTAAGGGCACCTGCTTTGGTTCAGCACATCCCATGTCCAGTTCAAAGGACTGGGCAACTGCTGGGTATCTGGAAGACCCCTCTATGCCACAGACCCTGGCCAGCCTCTGCCAGTCCAAGGAAGCCATTGTGGGCCAGTGACCATCAAACAGCCTGAGTGGCTCATTCGAAAGCAGTCAAGTTCTTTGGTTCCTTGCCACCAGCTTTTCTACATCACAGCTCAGACCAGAACCATTTTTAAAGAAAACATTTATTTACACATCTCAGCAAGTACAAAGTATTATACACGGTCTGGATCAACCTCAACCCTTCCTTAGTATTTTTATTTTAATTATGAAACATAAGGCGCTTTCTCTACACTCTGTTGCGGCAGGGCAAAGGGCTTCGGCTGCAGGGGGGGCAGAGGCAGAGTGGGGGGTGTCCTATTATATTTCCTCACTTGCATGCCCTTCCCTCCCAGCTGTACTTGCTCATCACTCCCACCCACCCCCATGTTCACTGCCAGAAGCGAGGTGGGAAGAACTGAAGGCTGCATTTGCGTGAAAGGGGAGCCCTTATTACCATGGTGAATAAATTACGGACAGCAGGAAACTCCACTTGGGGCACAGCTGGGGGAAGGCTGCTTTTCAGCTTCACAGGATTTGGGGGTTTGGTTTGTCTTTTCTTCTTCTAAGGGTAATAAATTTGTTTTCTTTTGCTAAGTGGCTTCCCAGGGGAGGGGCAGGGAGAGGACTGGATGATGGAATATCCAAGGTAAGAGTCAGAGGTGGACCAATCCCCCCCTTACACACACAATTTCCCCCTCTTCTAGAGCCTACAAAAATCTGTCCTGCTTTTCATATAAATAGCCTCTCTCACTCACTTTCTCCGTATTAACAGTGCTCGGCATCTTGGTGCATAAATAAATTGAATTATTCACATTTTTTACAAAAAGAAAAAAAGTAACTCCACTACCTTTCTTGATGTTCCTTGATTGGATTACACGTGGCCAGCCAGGTGAGGCAGGCAGAGGCCAGCAGAGGCACCGTTCAGACAGGGTGAATTAGAGGCACGGAGGCATCTCCTATGCCACCAGTGCCCTGCTCAGTGACTGCACGTGGGCTCTACTCTGGAGCAAAAGATGACATTTTTACACCAACGAAAACTGTGGAGGGCCCAGGCAAACTCTCCACAGGGGCAGTCAGCGTGTGTGTGTTGGGGGGAGGTCCACCTTTCTTCTAGAGAAGCCACAAGCCTTCTCTTTGCCCAGTGGCAAAGTTCATGTTTTGCTCATGTCTTACCCAGCCAATCACCCTGGGAAAATTGGGGGTGAGGCGGGGGTCCTGGTAATTTGGGAAGGGGAGAACAGGGATGGTTTTTCTCCAGTTCCACCCACCCCACAGCCAGAGAGGCTGTGCAAAGCTTCTGATGCCACTGGGGCTGGAAGGAACATGACTCCCAAAACTACCCAAGTGACCCTTACTGGGGAGGGAGTAGGAGGAGGGCAAGAATGTGACTGAGAGGGGCGGTCCTCACGCAATAATCCATGCAGTCCCGCCAAGGGGCACAGACGGCTCCGCCCAGGGATGGCTCCCCCGTCCGTCAGCCGCGGGAAGAGGGTGGTCACCGTGGGATGGCTTCCCGCGTCTTCTCCGGCCCACGCGAGTGGAGGCGCCCCCCGGCACACGTGGCCTCCGTCCCTCGTGGGAAAGTCCTCGGGGCACTGTCTTGCCTCGGTTCATGCAGGGAGAGGTGGAGGAGGGCGCCTGTCCGTCTGCCGCTCCAAGGCCCACCCGGCCCGGCACGGAGCGTTACACTAAGGAGGTGACGGGCGGGATCTTGGAGCCCTCCTCCTCCCAGGGCTGCAGGTTCTGGAGCGCAAAGAGCGACGAGTTGTGCAAGCAGAGCGGGTCGGGCTGGATCGAATCGTTCAGCGACTTCTGGAAGGCGTCGTGCTGGAGCTGCAGCATCAGCCGGCTTGCCTGTTGCCTCTCAGCTTCCCTCTCTTCCGCCGTCTGCCTCCTAAAAGGCAAAGAACAGAGCAGTCGGACCCGTCAGGCAGCTCCACCCCGAGGGACGCAGCGAAAATACCCCCGGGGCCTTTCCGCGGCGCCACAAGGGTCACAGGCCCAGGGCCCTGTTCTGAGCAGTGACCAGAAGGACACCTCTCCGCCCCCCCCCCCCCGCAATAGGGCAGGGCTGGCCGGTCGCTGTTAGAAGCTTCCTAAGGCAGTAAAGGACCTTAAGATCAAGCGGCGGCTGAAAGGAAGTTGCAAGCCACCCCGTCTTCGCCTGAGGAGCCGCGTTTCCCCTCGTCCTGCCTAATCTGCGCGGCTTCACGCCGAGGTTAATCGCGGCCCAGGTTTACTCGGGAGCAAATCCCAGCCACCGTCCCCAACAGGGGGCCTCACTTCCCCGGGCCGTACAGTCGCGGTAGGGCGCGCGTCTCTTGGGACGCGAACGCGCGCCGGACCAGGGGCCTGGTCCCGGGCAATTGGGTTCAAGCTTGCGGCCCTTTTACTCTGAGCTAAAATCCTTCAGAGATTGTACTGTTATTTTTATTGTGAAGCAGACAAGAACGCGTGTATCCCCGCTTGGCAATTCGGATCCTCTGGGACTTTATTCCAGGTCGGTGGGGTTTTAGAGACGCCCAGGTGTGTCCAGCTGGCTGCAGGGAGATCAGATGGTGGCGGATCCTCGTATGGGAGGGGTGTCGGTGGCCCTCGAAGCCGCACGCACATGAAGGAATCGCCCCCGGCTCTTTTTATAGGCGATACCCCCCATCGCCCCCCCCCCCGCCGCTGCTGCCGCCGCCCCAGCGCTTCAGAGAAGCCGAAAGGTGTCGGTGTTTCTGCTCTGCGGGAACGGAGACTCGCGCTCTGTTGCCGCCGGCATTTCTTCCAAGGCGCTTCTCCCGCAAATCGGATCCAAAATGAGGTTTCTTCACTGTTCCCTTCGAGGCAGCAGCTCTCTCTACTTCTAAACGCGGACACCTTCCCCAGATCTTCTTCCCCGCCATCCAGTCCACCTACATCCACCCAAAACAAAACTAACAACAGTCCTCAGTAGCGAATCTCAACAGGCTAGTTTTCAAGTGGGTTAGTTTTACCGAAGGTTTTGCTAGTCCAGTTGGGGAGCGAGGGTTGGGGAGAAACCGAAGGATGGCCACCAGCAGTCACAAGCCCGTTAAGTCGGACTGCTTGTCGTGTGAAGTCGATTCAGAAGCCCGAATCCGACTATCGAATTCGAAGCTTCCTTGAAGTCGAAGGAACTGATTTTGGCCTGACGGTCACCTGCAGGGCTCCGGCCATTGCGCGTAACCACTTTGTGGATCGCCGCCTTCAGGCCCTGGTGTTTTGTTTTTTTCCAGGAATCGTTTCACTTCCGGAAATAGCCGGCCTCGGTCTGAGCGGAAATATCAGAGCCGCAAAAAATTGTGGCTGGCTTTTTGGTGTACATGGAATTCGGAGCTAGCATACATACGCACGTTCCAAAAACAATCCAGTTTCCTCCTCGAATTTGGAAAACCTTGTCAGGGGAAGGGCTTGTCCAGAAAGTAAAGCCGGGTGGTGGGAGGAACTAGCCAAACCCCTTCAGGCGTCGACTCGCTGCTTAGGGGAACCCCGGTCCCAAACGGGTTTATTCGATGAAGCCGCGGCTCTTTCTCCCCCAGCCGTTTACATCGGGTTCTTTAGGACAAGAGCAGCGCACCTCGGGAGTCATGCCCGTTTTGAAACAAACGAGCAAGCCGATGGTTTCCAGGCCAGAGTCACGCAAGACCATCCCACGCATATTTACTCAGAAGTAAGTCCCCATGGATCACTGGAATTTCCTCCCGAGTAAGCAAGTTTGCACAAGATCGCGTCTTCTAAGTCCCTTAGCTTACAAAGAGGATTCTGTAAGGTTTAAGCGGCGCATGGTTTAGCAGAAGCGACCGAAACTCGTTTACTCGGAAGTAAGTCCCACGAGACTTCGCTAGCGAGCAAATTCATACCGGACCCGAGTTCTTGGGCCCCTTGCACCGCAATCGCAGTTTGATTTCGATAAGGTTTCCCCTTCTCCGCGTCTGCCGGCCCCTTCACTTGGTTCAGCCGTGAACCTTTCCAAGCGCATTTTAAAAAATCAAGGGCAAGGATTCAGCGTTACTTTTGGGGCTAGAAGCCTCGGCCGGAGGCTTCCCCACTTGCTGTTGATGTTCTTTGAAATCTGCTGAAGGACCTTGAAGACCCGCCTGAAATGTGAATTGCATCTCTCTCTGGCTGATATTAAAAAGCAAGTTACAGAGTCCAAAAGTTAATGCAGGGGAGGGGAAAAATGGAACAGAATGGGCTGCAGAGAAAAGAGACTCAAACAAAGAGAAAACCAGAATTTTTGAAAGTTATTTGTTAAATTAAAGGCTAGCCAAAGACACATTTTCTCCAGCCAGGAAGGCAACTTAAGAAAAGGAAAATAATGTAACCGTGCTCAAATAATGCCGGTTTTTAAAATAAGCAAAAATTGATTTACATTTCTATACCACCCAGGGGCCAAAGAGAATGTGTGTGATTTTCTCTAAAGTAATTTTAGATGAGAGTGAATGAAATCCATCCATTCTCAGATTCCTAAAATGTGAAAAACAATAATCAACAATATGAATATGTCTGTGCGTGTGTATAAGGGACGAGGGGGGTTGCCTCATTGCCTAACAAACTGGAATTATTACTGAAGTTCTATCTCACCTCCTTCCCTCTTTCCACCACCCCCACTACCGCACCCAGAGGTCTAACAAAATCTAATATATTCATATTTTCAGCATTGATCATCGACAGAGTTCATTCATGTGAATGGGTGTCTTGAGGACTTAATGAAAGCCCCATGGCTGTCAAATACTTTGGAAGTGAAAGGCGTGAAGAAGGTGGTTTGGGTCAGGCTATTTGTCCATCCAGCTCATTTACTGGGAATTCCACGCCCTCAACTCCTATTGTTTAGCGATTATTGGGAGGGGGGGAACCACCCTTTCATGAAAGGGTTCGAAATGGGAGGAAGGGGGGCTTCTAATTTGACTATTGCAGATGGTTAAGTAGCAAGACAGTTATTTTTATTTAATTTTTATGTTTATGCATTTTTGGGAGAGGTTGGGGAATGGGAAAATCAGAACCAAACCTGTTCCTCTGCCATTCTGTGCAGTAAAGGCCACAACTGAAAGAACACCAAAAGGTGAACATTATTTAAAAGTGAAACATCTTAAACGCGTTCAAAGGCCAGGTAGCGAGACTGATGCCCATCAGTTTTCAACTAACAACGAAAAAAACACTGTCCAGTTCAGAGTGCACTAAGCAAGTTTCAGGAACTAGACTTTGAGCTTCGGATTGTGCTGGCACAAGGAAACGCCGGGGCTTCCACCCAGAATAGTTCCAGAGAAAGCACCTTACCAACTAGAATTTATCAGAGCGATCGAGACATCCCTGCTCAGAAATCCGTCTTACCAACTTCAGTGGGCCTCGCTTCCACATAAGCATGCCTAAGATTGCAGCCCCAAATGACCTAATCTGAGATAATTGCAACTGTGGAAATTGTTCTGGCAAGTGTTATCAGCTCATTGGCTAAAACCAAGACTGCGCGCCTTCATAGTCTTTGTTGCAGCCACGTCGTTTCTGCTTGAGCGCCCGTGTTGCAGCCGCTAACCTCCAGTTCTCGGGAATATGAGGACCCGCCCGGCTTGCTGCGTTTCGGTCCCGTCTTCAAGGACCAGCAGGCACCAAACAACAAGAAACCAGGTGGAAAGAAACCGCTTTGCACAATACACCAGAAAGGCATCCACCTGCCGCAAAAGATGTGCAGCATTGGGAGCCTGCACCTGGGCCTCTGGGTCAGCCGGGCTTAGTTTGAAAAGCGGCAGGCCGAGTGGCTGCAAGTCATTCAGGCAACGGTGGCTTAACCGCGCGATCCCAAACATGCCTACACAGGAACAGCTTCACGGGGCTTCGCGCATTGAGATGCAGGCTCGATTTCTCCCACAGCTGTTCGGGATCAGTTGGGTATCATCCACCTCCCGGTGTAGGTCTTGCGCTGAGCAGGGCCCACACTTCACGTCCTCTGCGCCTGTGCTCGCACGTTGGGAGTGGCAGGTCCGGCCCAGGCAACAAGGCGCAGCGGCCTCTTCGGAAGTTGATGACACGGAGGGCAGGCACGCAGTGTCGCTGGTGCCTTTTCAAGAAGAGGGCCCGCCTGGCCCCAGTTTCAGGACCCCGCACTGCCCTCAGTTCCCGGCTCCCGCCTGGCTCGCTCTTTGCTCCCGCCTTTCTCCTTTGACAGCGAGGGGCACCCTCGATCTTATTTCACTGGCAACTTCGAATGAATCCCATGCTTGGGGTTTGGAGAAGCAGTAAGTAGAAGAGTTCACCAAAAACGCCAGTAGAACTGGGACCGTGACACACGGGGAGGAAATAAATCCTTTTATCCTGCCCCACCTACAGGCCATTTTACAGGAAACGGCTGCCAAAATTGAAGGATCCGAAGTCTGGGGGGGGTGACTGAATTTCAGTCAGAACTTGAACGGAGCTGTCCGCAGTGCTGAACTTGTTTTCAGGCTAGGCGTCTAGAAGCTGCGTCCGCCGGGGAACAAAACAAATGAGAAGCGCAGGGCTAGATGAGTGCCCATTCCTGCCCCGAGCAAGACTCTGGGGCAGAGGTCTAGGTTCCCACTCTGCCCCAAGCGCAGCATGACTGCCTCACCGAATTTCGGAGGAACTGGAGGGAATTGATGCTAATAATAAGCAGAGCCACCTCAATGGCCTTTCAGGCTGGAGTCCTGGATCACCTCTCTGCGTCGCTACTTCTCTCTCCAGTGGAAACTCTCACGATGCCTGTGGAACAGACGAAGAACCGAAGGCTGCCCTTTGTCCTTCGTCGGTCCTAGCTCTTCTCCTCGGTTTCATTAATATACTGATCTCTCCTGGCTTCTCGGCGCTGCCATTTATTTTAGCAGAGCGGAAGCAAGTCTGACCTTGCCACTTAGTCACTGCCTTTCCCGACCATGAACGCAACGAATCCATCAGGCACTGCATGGATCTCTCTTCCTTTTGTCCATCCCGAGCGTCCTTGCCAAGGGATGCCGAGAGTGACTTTCCCTTGATGGCCTTTCTCCTTGCCGGGGATCTTCCTTTGATAAGCTTCTGCACCTGCCTGATTTTCAGAAGGATCAGAAGGATCAACCAACAAACCAAATCCATGGAGAAACCAGGGCATTTTGCGCATTTGCGTGGGTAAGTGCAGCGTGTAGATAGGCGGGGACAGCCCCGTCCCTTCTCTCATCTGTCCATGTGCCTGTCTTTTGAGAGATATGAGGTGGTCTGAGGAAGGAGTCCACCCTGCATGAGACCTGGCACATCCCCATCGAGTACATGTTTGCTTGGGGAAAGAGGCTTCCTCGGTTCCCCTGGGCCTCCCTTCCAGATTGGCAGACTCTCAGCTTGCAGCACTGCGCATCCAGAAAAGGAGACTTGTGTGACCCTGCTCTTCCCTCCCCACATCCTCTTCAGGATCTCAGATGCAAGAAAAAGGGAGACAAGCACCCCCAAGGGGTGGGCTGAGGGTCAGGGGATAAGAAGCTTAAAAGGTGCAAGACAGGAGGCCTGTAGGATTTGGGGATCAGCTCTGGGGCACGAGAAAGAAGACTTCAAAAGAACAACAAGAATGGGGCCTCCTGAGCATGTACAGAGTTTTCCCTTCACTTCCAAGCTGTCCTCTCTGCAATCAGGAAGTTCCACCTGTCTAGACTGAGGGTCTCCCCTTGGGGATTGGTTCCCAGGCACTCGCCTCGACAGGAGGCGAGGGGGAAGGCAGGAAGCAGAGAGGTGCCCGGCCCCTGTCTGCTCGCTCCTGCACCCACCCAGCCACCCGCTCCAGATCCAGGGACTCACCGCCACTTGGTCCGGCGGTTCTGGAACCAGGTCTTGACTTGCGCGTCGGTCATCTTGAGCGACTTGGCGAGCGCCGCCCTCTCGGCTGAGGCCAGGTACTTCTGCCGGTGGAAGCGCTTCTCCAGCTCACAGATCTGCACCCGGGAAAAGGACGTGCGTGGCTTCTTGCGCTTGGGTGGGGTGCGGTTCTGGTAGGGGTGCCCGATCCTCCTCGTCACCGTGAAGGGGGTGAGCGCCGCCGCCGCTGCGACACACAAAGAGGCAGGTGAGAAGCGGCCGTGCCGAGGGAGACTCTGCTGCTCGCAACCGGCGCCAGCCCCAACCCCAGCCGTGTCAGGCGGCCGGGCCACGTCAGGCCAGCCCGCCTGGGTGGCTGGAACATCCGGCTGGGGCAGGGAGGGAGCTCTGTCCTCTTCCCTCCACAGCACACCTGCGGTCAGGAGGTTGCGGAGCTCCACTCAGGAAAGCCCCTCGCATTCCCATCTGGGGGTCCAGGCCAAAGCAGCAGGAGCTGAAGGCGTTCAGGCACCCGGCCCCGGGTTAGGTTAACTACCACTTGGTGCGGAGCGGCACCCCTTCCCTCCGCCGCCCCGCTTCCATTATCTGGGCGGGTGGAGAAAGGGGTGCCTCGTTCCGCCCATGTTGCAGCCCATGCTAAGGTGGGATGGGGACTCGAACCCTCCCTGCCCCCTCCCTGCCCCCTCCCTCCCTCCCTCCCCCTTGCGAGCTTGTGAAGACAGAATCCAAGTGATTCTGGATCTTGCCCTGTAACACACAGAGGCGAGTGGGTGTGCCCAGTCCTGGGCGTTTGCAGCGGAAAAGCTGAAATCAAAATACTAACGGCAAAGCCGAACCACGGCACCAAACCTCGCACACACCCCTCGCCCTCGGCTGCGGCAGGGCCTGGGATGCAGCGAGAGGCCAGGCAGCGCCTCGGAGGAAGCGAGCGAGAGCCCCCGACGCCAAAGTTACGCTAAGCAGGAACCATAAGACGACACTTTCCTTTCCTTGCTGTTTATCCTTTCTATATCGCTTTTCTGGGAATTTAAATTGCTTAGTGTAGATAGATATGAGTATTGGTATAGCTATAGAGATATAGAATCGGTAACACTGAACAATCGTATTTGCCAAATTAGGCTTCAGTGGGAGCTGAAGTGGACAAACTGCAAACACACCTGGAGAGTTTTCCCAGTCAGTGCAGAAGTATTATTAATTATGATTAGCAGTAATAAGATGCATGTTATACCACCCATTCCAGAGCTTCCCGTATATTTTCTCTGTCATTCTGTTCAGAGTTTTGTAGATGTCCATCTTCAGGCACCCCAGTTAAATATTGTCTTTCTTCTCTTCTCTCTCTAACACATATACATGCCTTCACCCTGAAGTGCATGGCAATACTCGACTTGCGTGGCCCCTTTTTTTATGTGGAGTTTCTAAGCGGGTCCATTTCCCCTGTTCTCACCCTTCATCTAATCCACTTTTTATTCAAAAGTATTTTGATCACCTAATTTCCTCTCTGTGTCATCCTCGCACGCTCGCTTATTCCCCGTAATTGGATTAGGCATGGCGATTTACTCGCCTTCTTCTCGGGCTCTTATATATGGCGCCTGAAATATATGAGGTCCACGATTAGGATTTTGAGGAAATCAGGATTTATTAAGACTTGTGGGTGGTAGTTTTCCCGGTCGGCATTATTTCTAGGGACGCGCGTGCAAGTGTGTATATAAAGCAATCTCTCTCTCTCGGAATCTATCCATAGCTATATACATGGATAAACAAACAGTATAGATGTATACATGCACACATAAACACACATAAACTGCAGAAGTATGGTTGACCCACTGTAGGTCCTTTTTGTCGTCCTGACCACCCCAACCTGGAAACCACCGTTTGGTACCACGCTGTACAAAGAAGTTTGCCGATGGGAACGAAATGCTGTACCGCTTTGTATTGTATTTATTTCTCTTAAAACAAATTATCTTTTCGCCCAACACCCGATGAGGAGCTGAGCATATATGTCAGATAAGCAGAGCAAACAAAATCCCCCTGCAAGACCTGTTTACACGCTGCAGAAGAACTTCGGGCGAAGCGCTGGACCGTCTCTTGGTCCTGTTCTGGCCGCCACCCGCCACCCCACGCTTACCTGTGAATCTGTCCTTGACGAACCGCCTGCTGCTCTCCATCCAAGGGAAGTTGAGGCTGCCAAGGCTGGGTACAGCTGGCATGGCTGGGATGGCACTAGAAATTGGAGGTGGCACTGCCCCAGGGATGGGTCTATGAGCTGGCACCCGAATCACGCCAGATGGAGCCAAGCTTAGATTCACACTGTAAGATCCAGAGTCTTCGAATGGGGCCCCGATGCCAGCGAAAGAGCCGGGGAGGGAAGGGTACGGGGCGCTCGTTCTGCTGCTGACGGGGCTTCCCAGGTAATTTGTGCTGCCGTCTGATCCTCGGGGGGCGGGCTGGGAAGGGGTCTCCTGATCAGAACTGTTTAAAATCTGATCAATCCCGAAGCTGATGGGTTCGTGTTGATGCGGTGTCTGCGTGTTCGTTGGCTGATCCATCCTTGGTGAATAGAAATATTGGCTCAAACGTGGGTGGGGGGAGAGAAAAAACCGTAAGAATTCCCCTATAAAAACGCTCCCCTTTCCTTTTACAGTAGATCCATGTAAGGTCCCGGTTTGTATAGATGTCACACTGAAACTTTGCCAACAGTGGTCCAGCCCGACAGGCTCTGTGTCATCTTTTTTGAACCAAACCTTGAGTTTCAGCTTCTAATTTCTCTCCAGCAGCTGCCATTGGCCACAACAAACAAGCCTCTCTCCTCCCATTGGCTCCCGGGTTTCAATAAAGGCCTAATTCATTGGAATAGGAGCTTAGGGACTGTTCCATGGTGACATCATTTTAACAAACGCACAATAGGTCAAATTTATTAGCTAAGATAATGCGGGGCGGATATTGCAAAGAGCATCTGCGATTGTTGTCTTTGGAAATTAGCGATATGAAATTGAACAAACCTTAGCAATTACTAGGCGAACGCCTCCGCCCTCCTCCCTCCGCTCCCTTCGCCACCCTTTGCAATCATTAGCAAATACGCTCGTTGAACAGAATTCCAAGCTGGGAGAGGCGCAGCTCGACCCTCCTCGGCGGATTAATCTGGGATCGATATAACTCTTTCCTATAGTTCTTTGTTTATAAACATTATACAGAGGGTGCGAAGGGTCGGGGTGGGGGTGGGAGAAGAGCGAGCGCGTGGGGCCCTCTGCCCCATTCTGCTCCTCACCGCCCGTCCCCGGGACATCCATTTTCAAGCGATTTGCTTCTCCCGATACACGAGAGGGAGGCCGGGGCCGGGGAAGCCTGCCGCCCGCCGGGCGGCGGAGCGCCACCCCTTCCTTCCGTCCCCCTGCCCGTTCCTCGGGGCTCCCAAGGCGGCGAAGCTGGGCACACTTACAGCAAGCAAGTGCCCATCGGAGCCCGCTCCCGAATTAACGTGCCCAGAGGACGGGCCGGGCGCCGTGCACTGATCCGGAAGGGCCGAGCGTCTCTCTGGCGGGGGAAAGCGGCTTTCGGGTCACGGTTAGGGCCAGCACAGAAGGAGGCTCTTTGAACACACACAGGCGCGCCTGCCCTCGGAAACGGGCGAGGAAGGCAGAGAGGAGCGTCGCAACGGGCCACCCACGGGAACGCTGCGCTCTCCCACAAAATCAGTTTTCGGGGAGGGACAAACCCCCCGTTTCTCGAGAGGACGGGACGAGCGCGCCGCGGCGCCTTCTGCGCCCGGCAGAGAAGGCTCCCGGGTTCACCCAACTCCTTTCCCGGGGCCTGGACGGGCGCGCCTGGTACCTGCAAGACCTGCCGGTGGAGAAAGAGCCGGCGACAGTTACAGTTAGGCGCCTGGGTGCGTGTACACCGGGAGCAACACTCACACACTCCGGAAAGGAGACCAAGGGGTGCCCTGGGCTGCCCGCGGGCTCCCCTTCCGCCCCTGCCGGCCTCACGTCGAGCCAGCGCCCGCGTCTGCGTCCCGGTTCCCTCGCCTGCTTCCCTCCGGCCCGGCCCGGCCCGGCTGTGCTGGCACAGGACAGCCTTCCGTGCCGAGCGTTTGCGGGAGGGAGCAGCCCAGAAAAGGGTTCCGTTTTGGATTAATTTGTTGCAATAAAACGTACCGTCACGCCGTCTGGCTTTGTGAGTTTGGAGACGCTCCCTAACGTCCAAATTGGACTAAAAGCGTTAAAAATTAAATAACGCTCAAATGCATTTACTTAGTTTCCCCTTTATAAAGGGAAATGAAAACAGGGAATAGAATTTTCCTTTTAATAGAATGTAATAGTATTTGATCAGCACCTGTTAGGGCCGATTCCGTGATTTCAGAAAGCGGTGACAAGGAGGGAGTATATTAGTTTTTAAAGCTTAGGATTCAATTACCGCAACACACTGAATAATTTAAATGGCAACAGTAAATGCAAACAGACCTGTGGAGTTTATTGGGCTGACTGCACGGAAAGGCTGCGGAAGGGATGCGCTGTCCCTCCTTCTCCGTTTCCCTTCCTTTCCCTTTGCTTTGACTTTCCCCGAATAAGTCCTAAAGGAAGATAGACCGGGTCATCCTCTCATTATTAAAGTGGGTATTTGGGGGGGTACTTTTATCGCAGATCACGATATTTATTTTCGCACAATCACGCCGCTGCCCATCTTTTTTCCCTCTTGTGACAGCCCCGCACCCCTCGCACACAAAGATAAAAAATTGAGACAGACAGTTTTATTTCATTTTCCCTTCCGGAAGCGGCGAAAAGATCATTTCACAACCAAGAGGGCTTCGTATTCGGAACTGAGGCCGAGGCAGGCCCATCCGTGGGCTTGGTCTTGCGAGGGGCGTCTGGACGGGGCGTTGCCTCCCAGCCAGGTTTCGCCTGCGATCCGTCAGGCGCATTTAACGGCAAGGCCTGTCCATTGAGATGAATGGGAACGCCGCGTGCCAAGAGATCTCCCGGTTGGTGGGTTGCAGGTGGAGCGCAGCGTGTCCCCGCCAACCTTGTCACTCGGGTTGCTCGGAAGGAAATCCTTCTGCATGTGCTAGGAGGTGCTTTTGACTGCAGGGTGTGTGCGGCTCGAGAAGGCACCAACTAACCCGCAGCTCTTACGCGTTTATAACACCGCCAGCTGGTGTTGTCATGTGCGGCTGAGCTGGGCAGGTACCAGGCGCATGTTCGTGTTTTCCCAGCCGTAGCGGGGAGGGGGCGGGGGGAAGACCAACAAACCTCGGAGGGAATTCGGACCTCCAAGGCCCCTTCTCTGGTCTATCAGGAGAACCGATTTCAAGGGAAAAGGGTGCAAACTTGACGCTAGACCATTATTTGGTTTCCGTTCTATTGGGCGCAGTTCACATGGAGTACTCCCTACCAATCGCGCTTAGGAACGAGGCGATTTTAAATTATATTCTTGCTGAAAACTTTGAACAAACTGTCAGTCAGAGGTTTGGGGTCGGGCAGCACGAGGGAGTCCTCATATCCGAACCCGAGGAAAAGAACAAAAGAAACAGGTAAAGGAGATGGAAACTTATTTCCCAAACAGAGGAAGAAGAACATCCGAGTCGTCTCTTCTTTCCAATTAGCTGCGTCCTGGGCACCCATTGCAAATCTGCATGAGCGTTAAACTGAAGGGCGGACTAAAGAAGGGTCGGGTGAAGTGCAGGGCGGGGAACGGCAAAGAAAGGATCCAGGAGACACGAAGTCCGTATTTCGCGACGGCCCTTTCCAAAGGAGCACTCTAGCGGAGGTCAAAAATCATCAGCTTGCCTCTGGAGAGAACAAGAAAGCAAGAGGAAGAGGAAGGAAGGGACAGTGGAAATGTGATTGGTAATAAATTTTCGTGGTCACTCTTTCTTTATAAACACCGCCTTGGCCCGTTTGGAGGAGGGAGAAGGAAAGAAAGAATTGGGGGGTGGGGGGATGGATGCTGGAAGTCCTCTTGCCTGGAGAAGAAAGAGGGTGGGGAGGGACGCGGGAGCGGTGGCTCGAGAAGGCGTCCAGTCCTGGGCAAGTCACCCGAGCTAATGGCGAGGCAGCTCGCCCGCTCTCTGCTCGGGCCTCCTCTTTCCAGGCGGGCGCGCTTAAGAGGCAGCCCGGATGGAACGCGAAGGGCTGATAATCCGGTTAAGGGGAAAATAGGCCGGCGCGGGCAGCCAGCTCATTCCCAGGAGCCCGGCTGCGCTTTCCGAGATGCTTTCGCCACCAGGGCAGCCACGGCGAGGCGCAGATCGGCCGTGCCAAGACCGCGGGCAGCGCCGGGGGAGAGCAGGCACAAGCGCCTGCTCCCGCGCTCTCGTGTCTGCTCAAGTCCACGCGGAGCTTGGCGGCCTCTCCGGGCGCGCTCGGGCTTGGAGGAAGATCCCAGGGCCCTTCCAAGGTCTTTCCGCAGCCGGGCGAGGGCGCTTTCCCCATTTACCGCCACGGTCTGCGCCCCGCCCCTTTAGCCTTGAAGGGCCTGGAGCCGGGGCGTCCGTCGTCTGTGCCGTTCGCACCGCTGTGTTCCCACTTGCACTCAGAACCGTGCTCGGGGTTTCGCAAGGCCGCAGTGAGGCGCGTGGCCGTGCATCGCCCCCTGCATAGGACGAGCCGCGTTCATGCCAAGAGGCATATCCAACGCACAGTGCACTCTGCGTGCGTGCGTGCGTACCTAGTTCCGCCTTATGCACACGCGAGCACATGAAGAGGCAGAGAGGACAGATGTCGCTTTCACGCGTGTATGAGACGAAGCAATGTTTTCATGCATGCGTTTACATTTATATACAGACGCAAAGGCATAGATGCGGGATTATTTTGGCCACCGCGTTCATGCGCACACCCTCTGTGCGCAAGGTGCTTTGCAGAGCGCGCCTCGTCTCTGCCTGCAGGAACTTACACTTTTAAGCTCTGTTCAACAGAGGCGCGCCTGGGGCTTGGGGGCAGGGCGGGGCAGGTCAAGGAGGGGAGGGCGGGGGGCCCGCACGAGGATCGCTGTGCGCACCTTGCAAGGAAGGCGCGCCCGTCCCCGGCTGCCCATCTCCTTGGGGAGGCCACGCCGGGCGGGGGCGGCTGGGGGCCCCTGGGGAGGCGGCCCCTGGGGCGAAGGTGGGCCGTCGGCTGTCAGCTTGGCCAGGCAGGCGACGTCGGCCAGGCTGCTCGGCGTCCCTGGCGCGGCCGGGCCCGCTCGGCGGCTCCTGCTCGGCCGCCGCCCCGGGCAGGCCCGGCCTGGCCGCCCCAGGGAAGCCGCCGCCGCCGCCGCCGCCGTCTGGGAGGTTGGGCTAATTGGATTCTCGCCACTTGCTCTGGCGGCGTGTCTGAGCGGCCTGATCATTACTTTGAGCTTCCTACCAAGCGGAGCTAATTGGATTTGCAGGATACCAGCAAGCTGCCGCCCGGCCGGGGAAGACGGCTCCGGGGCGCAGCGCCGGAGAGGGCCGGGACGGAAAGAGAGCGCCCGCGCGGGTCGCCCGCGCGCCCTTCCGGGGCCCCTGCGCCGGATCCTGACCGGGGCCCTCGGGGCGGCGGCTGGCAGGCAGGCAGGCAGGCAGGCTCGGCCG